TGTTTTCGGTTGTGAACCCAATAAAACCTCAAGATTTTAACCTGCTTAATAGATTTGTGAATTACATATATAATTGTGTCTGTACTAAGTGATACAAGATTGTTTTTTTTTTTGGATATTCCTCCAAAAGAACTGTAAGTTTAATAACAATAAGTGCAACCAATTGGGTTTCGGGAAGACTTTGGTTAAAAATGATACAAACAAATATGTCAAACACTGAAAAATAAAACTGCTAACCCTCACTGAAAATTGATCATTTATCCTTTGACTTCCATCACGATCTTTTTTAACCTTCTTAAACAGGGATGGATTAAGTATCATAAGGGCCTGAGCCTATTACGATAGTGACTAAAGTCTAAGGTACAAAAAGTAAACCTTATAATTGGCCTTTTTTTTTTTTGAGCCAGGGCCTGGAGCTATGGTCCCAATAGTGCCGCTTTAATTTGCCCCTGCTCTTAAATATTAGAAAAATAATGTATAGGGCTAATATGGGCATATTTTGCACCAGACTTATTGTTTCATTGATCATGGAATTTTAACACTTCTCATAAGAAACTTTCAACCTTAAGAATTAAAATGATTTTGTATTTTATGAATTCTCATTGATAAATATTTAGCCAGAAAACCTTGAAAAGAACTTTCATAGACAAATAATTCCACAAATAATTAAACAAATAAGATATTATTTTGTATAAAAACTTGAAATGCACAGATCCAAGCAGAGTAAGTTCAAAGTACAGGATTTTAAGGAGAAAATTGATGATTAACTGAGAAGTAAAGGATGGGTTAATATTTGTACTTTTTTCCAAGGTTGGGTGTACAAGGACAGCATTGAAGGACCAAAATGGTCCATAGGTCATGTGTGAAACACCTCCACCAAGAAAGAACTTTTGAAAAATAATCTGAGAGTGAAGATTAATAATAGACTAATAAATACATTAGTAAAAAAACGATCAACAGTTCTTGCTGAAAAATTTAAAGCTTTATATTGTTAGCCCAACTTGTCCAAATATCCTTAATACTGCACGCAACAATCATGTTGTACAGATGCACAGAAGCTCTACAACTAACAACTTTACAAGTTAATGAAGAGTCTTCGTGTTATTCAACTATAATTCTAATCTAGACAAGCAAACATTGATGTTAATAAATGTCACCTAATGTCAGTGAATGAAATTAAAATTTTTTTTTTTTTAATGTAACCCCATTTCAATAATTGGGCAATGAGAGGGTTAGAGAGCTTCAGAGCCACAGGTTGCCGATCCTTTGGTTGGGTGATAATCTCAATAAGGTCACAAGGTTTCTCTCAGTTATTTAGTTCTTGAAACTTAGAAAAAACAAAAGTATTTATTTGAATTAATTCTAACCACATAAGAGTGAGCAATGGGGGTTACTATAAAAACAACTAATCAACAGAAATGACCAAGTGTAATCTTATTCATCAGATGTTTACACAAATTAAACATATCTCATCATCATGCAAACAAATAGACAGATTTCTATCTTTCAAAAATCGTAAAGTCTGCTGAAAACCAAACTCTGAATCTAAGCTTCTATAACTTTTATTTACTTATCATCGCATTCTAAATCACACTAAATAATCTTATTTTTCTTCTACTCTTACAGAACAGTTTGTATTTCAAGAAAACAAGTCCAATTATTTCCAAATTAATGTTTCAGAGAAAAATAGTTAAGTCTCCTCAAAGCTTCAATTGTTTTAGACCAGGTTGGTTTCCCACAGTGCACCGTTTCCACTCTTAACTCTTGAAACCCGTAATATTTTGCACTTTCAGCCGTTGATCAGAAATTTGTTTCATAACAAATGATAATGCTTCACACAGAATTTCCAGCCTATAAGATGATTTGGATTAGTTTTCAGCCAACGAGACGTAAATGTTCTCGAACATCGTCACCGTCCGAAGGTTGAATGAGGATTTGTGGCCAGACGCTGGCAGCATTCGCTCGGGTTTAAGGAGTTAAATTGGACAACTTGATACTTACAGAAGAAGTGAAAAATATGTAACTGTCATATCTAAATACATCTCAAAGGTAAATCATATCCTTTTTTTAATCCACTGCAATGTCTTAATGCATTAACGTGTTGTCGGGAGTGACTTACATTATTAGAAAATTATAATTTGTTTTTTATTTCAAAGCAAAAAATTGTCAAGGTTCTGAAATGTATTCAATTTGATTATCATTGCAAATGGTATATATATATATATATATATATATTTAAAGAATTATGTTCAATCTTGAGTTCCTTACCTTAAGAAGGACATTGAATCATTGGAAATGGTTCACGTGAGGGCTACTATAATGATATCTGGATTGGAAAGGTTGTTATACAAGGCTAGGTTAAGATATCCGACATTGTTTTTCTCTTGAAAAAGAAGAGTTAGAGGGGATCTGATTGAGATGTCCAAGATTGTTAAGAGAATTGATAATGTTGATGCATCATCTTTTTTTCGTACTTAATGGTGAGAATGGTAAGATTAGAGAACACAAATACAAATTCTGACGAGGTAGGAATCATCTTCAACTAAGACAGTTTTATTTTTCTATAAGGGTAGTTGGTCTTTGAAATGGGTTGCCTTCAGATGAGATGGATGCAGTTAATTTCAGGGAGTTTAAGGGAAGCCTTGATAAATATTTAAGTGATGAGGGCTGACTTTCAGTGGTTTATTTTAAAGTTTAATTGAATGGATGGGGCAGCCAAGATGGACAAATGGGTCTCTTGTTGTCATTTAATTATATATGTATGCATATCTACATGTGTGTGTGTGTGTGTGTGTGTGTGTGTGTGTGTGTGTGTGCATGCATGTGTTTATATATCTTGCATCAAAACAAGGAAACCAATATTCAATAAATGGGCCTATCTTTTTCAGAGGTAAAGAAGAAGAAAGCTCCACCTGTCAAAAGTACCAAGGTTTTATATTTTTTAATGTTATTTGCCAACTTTTTTTGATCCTACACTATTGTTTTTCTTATCATGAACATATACATATATATAATTAGTATTAGTATTAGTTAAGCCTGATTTGTGCTCACTGATGCTGTGTTGCACTTTTGCATTCCACTCATATCAAAATATTTACTTTCAACAATACAAGTAAATGAAAATAAAAATACTTAACACATCTAATATAGATGTGAATAACAAACTTTACACAAGGTTCTTTGAAATTAAACATTTGGTGAAGCAAACTGTCATCTACATTTCAGAATTTTTAAGAAATAAAACCTTATATAATTCATTATTTTGTCAATTTAGGTGGTGAGCAAAAAAGAAAAGAAAAGAAAGAAATGAGCAAAAAAGAAATGAAAGAAAAATGTTAAACATCTTAGAGCTTCTACTTTGAAGACAAATACACAATGTATGTAACGTACTTCACAAAAAAAAAGAAAACCTTCCATCAGTGCTAATCTGTCTCACTTTGGAAAAACACAAACATCATTTGGCTCAAATATAAAGTAAAGTGCAATTTTGTTTCACTTTTGTTTCTTAAAGAGAAAAATAGATCTTCAGAAATGAGTACAGAAGGGATTAACAAAATATTTATCAGGGTTTCCAAAATTTAATCTAAAATATTATATATCAGCACCTGAATTTTACTTTTTAGGAACATTAGATGATGTTATTCAAAAGGATTCTAGAAAGGCATGTAGAAGACTGTTTTAGGCCTACAGTAGAAGGATCTGATAATTATTGGTCATAAATACATGCTTTAAAAGTCTTGAAACAGATATGTTTCAATACTTATTCCTTAAAATTAACATAGTTCCCAGATCTGCTTACCTTATATTACAAGATGAAAGTGTTGGGAAAATTTCTATGTAAATAAGACAGAGAAATTCAAACTTGCGTAGAACTAATGTTCAACTTCATACTTCACATGACACAGGATTTGATGGACAACAAAAAGCCACTTGGCTATTCCATTCATTTCATTAAACACCACCTCTGCTGTATCCAACCCCAAGTTTTTAAGCATTCATCAAGCCTTCTCTTGAATTATCCTAATTCTGTTGCATTTACCACTTCTGAATAAAGTTTCTTTTAGAAGCTTAAAATTACCTAATTTGTAGATGACTCTAATCATGTCAAATCTTAAATTTATGTTTCCCAATCCTATCACTCTCACCAAAAAAATGATGCATCAATCCTATCTATTCCCTTTATACATTTGGATACTTCAATCAAATCCCCTCCAAGACTTCTACAAAAAAAAGACAACTTAACCTGTCCAAATTTGACAGCCCATCTATTTTGCACTATCTTGTTCCATGCCTTATCCATAATGATTTTTAAGTTTGTTTATGACATTTAACATTACATATAGACAAGAGCTTGAATTCTTCTGCCACATATTTAGGTGTAGTGTACGATATATATACACAAACTTGTGGATATTTTGATTTTTAATATGTTATTACTTATTTGTATAAGACTCTTGTTAGGCCTCACCTGGGTGATCCTTTTTATGGTTTAAAATTAATTCATTATAAAAACAAACAAGGGACGGTATGATACAAGTGGTTTAAAACTCAATAATGTTTAAAAATATATTTAAAAAAACTAATATAACTTTCAAACTCTGTGAAGCCAACGTATGAAATATATGCACTATATATTAATTAATATATATATTAGCATCAAAATTACTAAAACTAACAAAATATTGTATATTGTACTTGCGAAGCTGTATTACTATTAAACTTTGTGATTGACTTTCTGGCTATACAAACACACAGCTTCAGACAAATTCAATTTCAATGCTGAATTCAAATCGAAGTAAAAAAAGAAAAAGTTTTCGTTCCGTTAGTCTTAGGTGTATTGCCTTACTTATCGCTACTCAAACTAAATTACTGAATAAAGTAGAAATACTAGAATTTAAATAGCCAACCTCGTGTGATTTATCAATGAAAGTTTACTATTAATTGTTTAAAGTTTGTTCTAAGCAGTGAATAATAAGTACTACTTTAGTTTAAGTACTTACCATTTTATGTTTTCCCTTAAATACAACAGCGAAAGCTCCATGTCCGATGAGATCCTTGGTATTATACTCGTAATCTCCTACAGTTTCCATGACTTTGTTTTAAAAATCTTATCATATATCTCCAAATAAACTTTCTTCTGAAATAACATACATCTGAAAAATTAACTTACAGTAATAAACGGATGATGTATAACGTAACATTTCTCATCTAAAATCAAGAACAGTAGGAACATGTTTCCATCCATGTTCACTTACTACCTACATCAACAAGCATACTGAATTGTTAGAATTTTTAACTACGAACGCGTTTTGTCTGACATTCACATCAGCTGTTTTGAGCATGCCTATTAGGTTAAGTATTGAACTAAAACACATATGCACGCCATCGTTTGACAGAATTTAGTACTATATAGTATATTTATTTCATATCCTGCGCCATCACGCGGCAGGTTTCATATTCTACGATAAATTTGGGCTGAAACTTTCATTATAGGTTTTTCTCTTATTTGATTTTGTTTTGGGTGCAACACGTGTAAAAAAAGTTTATGATCAAATACTATTTTCTTTTATTGTAATTGTTCTTTAATTCTCAATCAAACAGAAATATAACGTAATATCATATCCGTACCATCATCTTAGCAGCAAATCTATTATTAATGCGGTATTCTATGGTACACTGATTTCCCTTATTAGTAATCCAATAGACTCCGTACAGCAAAAGGAGGTCTGACAAAAAATGTATCATGGAGTAAAACATAATTCTACAACCTTGACTAAATTTGACGCTAAGAAAGAAACATGATATGATTACAATTGTTATTCAATACGTGCACAAAAATCAAAGACAAGTCGAATGTGTTTATAGCGCTTTTACTGGAAAGAGCTCTCGATAAAAAAAAAAATATTAGCAGAAGTAGTGAAATGTGTGTTACAGACTGAAAAAACATAGTTTTATATACACGAAGCAATAATACTGTTCTTCTTAGAACACGTCTGTTACCCACGTGACTGTTGATCACTTCCATGTAAAAATAAGAGAGTTTTTATATGAAGGTATCAGTTGACCTGCCAGTGGAAAAGATTAATCCTCACTGCAGTATAAGATGATCCACTTTACAGAAGTCTTTCCCACAAGAAAGCATATGCATTACCTTAGTTGAACGAGCCATTATAGTAAGTAACTAGGAAGAAAGAAACTTAGCTACCTCCTTGACAGATGTTATATGTTAAAACTACATACACCATACGTATGAAAATAAATTATGTTAAATAAGGGAATAGCAAACATGTAGCGTGCTTGCATACAACATTGATATCAACATTGATATGGTAACAATAAATAAGAAAAAATAGATTAAAATGGATTTCTACCGAATCCCGACTGTGAACTCATTTTGTAGAAAAAAAAGATAATAATTTAAGACCACCTTCTCTTCTTGAGAAATGTGCTAATTTTTTATTAAAGTTTTTTTTAAGTATATATTTAAAACAGAAATTTATGAATATATGAATCACTTTAAAAAACTCATTACAAAAATTACCGCTGAGCCACTGACGAGGGTGAGGCCTGTGTAAAGTGATGAGATAACATCACCAATATCGCAGAGTATTGTAACATAACATAATGTTTTGGGAGAACATGGGACCTATTGGTCTATCTCGGCTCTCCCATCCTCCAAAACTAAACTAAAGCTATTATATATATTTTAACAAATCTTAAAGCCAACCCTTATCATTCATATACTTATCAAGCTTTCTCTTAAGTTCACTTAAACTTACTGCGTCCACGACATCCTAAGGCAACCCATTCCAAAAGCCAACCACCCTGATAAAAAAATAAAACTGTCTTAGCTGAAGATGACTCCTACCTTGCC